TAGCTAGGTTTCTCTAGGATTTTGTCGAAAATTGACTCTTTAGGTACTTGACCACAATTTAAGCCAATGATTAATGCGAACTCCAGCATTCCAAATCTTGCAAACCTTTGGTTCATCTTGAACATAGTCTCGAAACGTTTTGGGCAAATCATTGATCTATTTACCATTTAATGAATTAGTTGCGTAAATAGTTTGAGCTCAGACAACTTGCCAACATGTCATATGCAACTGTCCTCTAACATACTCTTTTGTTGTGCCTCGAATTTGTCGAGGACAACTGTTATGTATCTGGTGTTGCTGACCCGTGAAATCTATGCCGGAATACGCTCTTCCTCCAAAATTTTGTATTTATATGAGGAATTCATCTACAAATAATAAAAACAAACAAGACAAATAACATGAGAACCTACTAAATAAATAACATGACATAAGAAATATCTGAAACCGCGTAACCATTGAAAATGCTTGCTATCTAATCAAATAGTTACACATGCACTGATGCCTACAGATTCAACAAAATGTAAGAATTTCAAATTCTAACTATATATAAAAACTATTAAGGACACACAAAACCTATTGACCATATCATTGTAGCAGTGAAGTGGTTCCCACTACAAAAGTAAATCACAAGTTGACCGCATTAACTATTAGAATCATACATATCTCGACATAAGAATAATTTGTTATGCTATCCATTTTGAAGATAGTAAATACAATACACCAAACATAAAAACGTAGCAAAACTTTTGAAGTCTAGTGCTTCGTATTTTCCCTCTAGTAGTATGCTATTCGTTTTCAAGACAGTAAATATAATACACCAAAGAAAAAAGTATTCATAGAATAAGATATTCCAATCTTGAATACATTTAGATAGTTATGAAACTGTAAAAATAAATTTCACATTTGAAACCCTTCAAAACTAATAGTTCCTAAGATGATATAATGTACATGGATTTTAATGCTGTCAAGATTTTAGTGACTTTGAAGGAGTATAATCCATCCAATCAATATGAATTTGTAGAATAAGCTCTTTCAATTTAAGGATATACTCCATGTCTCCATTCAACAAATTACATATGAAGCCTTACTTTTTTTCATTTTGAAGCTCTAGAGGATTATATCCATGCATCTAGCTCGATAATTTTATTCTTATAGAAATCGCTATGAACTCCATATAAAAGGAATATCAAGCAAACATTTAGGATTTCCACTTCTCAACCGTGTAACAATTAATTAAATAAAACAATCTAACTCTAGCTGACACGAGCTCCCAATACTTGGTTAAATCCAATCTGATTAATGGTGATAGTAGTATTATACTATTTAACTAATTGCACGATATTATATTATTTAACTAATTGCACGATGCTTGGATCATAAACTAAACAATAATGGAACAAAAAATTATAGTTCTAAAATCGTTAGAACAACATAAATACATTCCTCGGATTATCAAACAGATCGCTCACCATCCGTATACACTCATTTCTTACACTACATGTGCAAGTTTCATTTAAGCATTATATTAGAATTACCGCATAACTCAAGCGAATGAAACCATGATTTTATTCATTTTATTGAGCTTCACACAAGTAATATCAACCATATTAAGTAACAATGAAGCACTTCAAGAAAATGAAATGGTCAAATTAATCAATTTTAACAAAATCCGATAGTCCACGACATTTCCTGCACAAGTAAATCGTGCTTAATTGACATAGTTCAAAAAAAGAATAAGCTATCTATTTAATCAAACAACAAACAAATACAAGTTTATCCACTTCCCAGATATGAATTATCAAGAATTGCACTAAATTATACTCAATAAAACAATCAATTTGAAAGCAATGCCAACGTAGATCAATCAACCCCTATGACCAACATCCATAGCTCCAAAGAAAAATCTACATACAAAATCAATCAAACATGGCATAAAATCAAGAATTCAATTAAATGAAGTGCATTGTTAACTCGTTTATTATCGCAGACTGCAAAAAAGGTCCAATGATATCACCATTTGACCAATATCAAAGGCTAAAAAAAATTCCAAAAACCAGACAACTGAATCAACCAAAATCATTGATTAATAATGATGGATTATAAATCCAAGGAACGCAATGTAAACCTATAATTTTAATTTTGAAATATTGTAAACAGAATAAATAACAAAAGATATTTGTGAAGGCGATGGACTTATTTCACTTAATCAATGAAATAACATTTTGCCATCTTGGGAGAAGTTAACATTTAGGGTCCGTTTGATTGTAAATGTGGAAAATGGGTGGAAAGAAAATATTTTACAGGGAATTGAATTGCCTAGAAATTGTTTTACTAAGAATTCTAATTAATTGTGTTTGATTGATATAATTTTCCACCTGAAAAATATTGAAAGTTTGGTGTCCGTTTGATTTCGCTTTTTATGGAAATTGTCCATTAAAGTGATAATTTTTTTTACCATTGGGTCTAGAATTTATTCCAATTGCCAAAAAAAAAAAAAAAAAAAAAAAAATTA